TTTGTATGTGTACGCACCTAGTAAAATATTATATAACATATATAAGCACCTAAAATGTAATTTATGAGGTGTCATATAAAATGTATAAATTATTACAGTAAAAATGGAAATAATACAGTTGATTTTTCTAAATTAAACACCAAAGTTCTGTAAAAATAAAAGACGATATATTCATTAAGAAGTAGGTATACTACTAGGTAAATATGTTCATTTAATACTGTTTTAACATGTAAAAATAATGCATAGGAATAAATGATTATTTTATAGCGAATTACCTAATTATCATTAAAGTAAATTTAAAATTATTTCTAATAAGTCAAAAAAGGCCTAGGGGGTGTATGACTCTATGCCCCCACCCCCCAAACGGCGCTAATTCCGGAAAATGTTCTCGCGGATTAGCACACGACCTCTCAGGGTTTCATCCAGATAATTCGGTTTTACAAATTAATCTACGGGCTACGGATTCAGTGAATTATTCTCCGGGTTATCGTAAAATTAATTCTATTTATAAAATTATTTATAGACAGTCGATAAGTACGAGAACAAAGATTATCATCACAAAAAGTATAGGTAAAATACGATTTATTGGCTTGTCGTTATACATTAAGCCGGGCTCGCACGACTGGCGTATTTGACAAGTACGCCAATAATAATACACTTCGCAAGTGCACAAGTCATACACAAATAAAGTGTTTCCACGACTGGCATCCTTGACGAATATATCAGCATTGATACATTGTACAAATAGGCAAATTACTATAATCCACGACTGGTCAAGTTAGACAAACATTAGCGGTAGGGTTGCATTTTCAAATATTTTTTGTTCTACTTCAACTGTGAATTTTGTAATTTATTTAGTGTGATCGCAACTGTTCTATACTCCTGTGGTCAACGTTAATTAATATTTAAATTTACCTAGAATTTAAAATATTTTACTTAAATAATCATAATGAGTGATGAAGATAAAGTTTTAGCTTGTGCATCTCATATAATATTGGGTAATGAATATTTAAAATACAAACAATTTATAAAAAAATGTCAGAAAAAGAAAGTGGTGGATGACACAATTAAACAGAGCATTGCTTATCTAAATATGGGTATCCCACGACTGGTATACTCGTCAACTACACAAATATTTGTTAACATGTTCGAGAATGATCAGGACACTCTCACAAGTGACGAATAATTGTACAAGTGTGCTGTTCCCACACTATGGTAAGTGACGAATATTTGCCAAGTACACCAGTCATGGGAGCCTGGCTTTAAATTAAACTACTAAATACTGATAACAATATTATAAGATTACAAACTACAGTTCATGAAAATTATTTTTCAATTGCTATTGATTCGTCTAATAAGGGTTCTTAAAAAATATCCCCTATTGTTGATCAGTATTTTCACATTAAAAAAGGAATCCAAAATAAACTGATGGATTTTTATGAAGATCCAGATGAGACATCGTTAAAAATTTTCGAAAATATTGAAAAATGTATGCGGCGATTAAATTTAAATCCTGAGTTATTATCTGGATTTTCTGTAAACAATGCATAAATTAATTACGGCATTCGTAATTCGGTCTACCGAAAACTTCTTGAAAAACATCCTCAATTTAAAATAATAAAAACAATAGTTGTCACGTAATTTAGAACTCTCTATGAAAAAAATTAACATATGATGTGGAAAATTTAGTGTTGAAATTTTATGCTGAATTTTCAAACAGTGCTAAACGCGTAAAATAACTAAAATTTTTTTGAAGAAATTCAAGTTGTATATAGAAAAGTTCTCCTACATGAACCAACTAGATGGTTCAGTTTATTTAAAGCTGTTGATAAACTGATAATGTCTTGGCCTTCTGTTTCATCTTATTTTAAATACCGAGGAGAAGATGCGTGTCATGCATGTTATATGGGAGTTCGTGAAAAATATTGACAAGACAGAAATTTCTGATTTGTCATGTAAAGTATGTTTATCAGAATACTTTTTGTACTTTATTTACCACTACATAAGTATAATAAATGAGGCAATATTATTACACGAAAAAAATTCCGTAACTTCTGTTGACTTACTAGTAGTAATACTAGGTCTAAAAGATAAAATTGAGAATCGCATGAATAATTCATTTTTTGGTGCAGAAGTCATGAAAATTATTTCAGCACTTCGACCAAATGAGCAAGCAATGTTCAAAAAAAAAAAAAAAACTAATAAAGTTTACAAAAAAACTATTGATTATTTTAAAAAATATTACGATTTCAACAATTCAAATTTTTAGATTTTTTCAAACTTTAATTTAAAAAATAAAATAATTGAGTATAACGATGCAATAAAATCTGTGAACCTATTAGGTTTAAATAATATTGAAGAAGACCGACGAAATAAAACCAGAGAGTGTGGGTTGAGCTTTCAAAAATTAATGTATCTTAAGATTTAATGTGGGTAGAACTGCTCAAAAAATATGATTTCACTGAACTTCCGAAAATTGTTGAAAAAACATTTTCAATACCTATAAGTAACGCTTTTGTAAAACGTGGTCTGATGAAAGAAATCGTCTATAAGTGGAAATGGTGAAATCAGAATTATATGTCAAATTTAATTATAAAATGAACCCTCAAGAATTTTTGCAATTTTTGAAAAATACTGAACAAGAAAAATTATTGAACTGTGCAACGAAAAATGTAATTTACGATTTCAAACTAAAATAAACATATTTTGTACTTTTCAATATCAAATAAAATATGTGATTAAATTAAGATTGAATTAACATTAAAAAAATCAAATTGTTTTACATTTTATCAATTATATTTTAATTTATATCAGCTATATGCATATTTCTGTTTTTGCTTATCAGCCTATCTCGTATCCGGGTCTACCATCTTTCAAAGTGGCAACCCTAGCTGCTACATCGGTTCTCGCCACCTGACGGCTTCGATAGCGGCGTAAACGCGCGAATGTAATTTACGAAATGGTCTTATGGATCAAGCCGTAATCTTTCATCGCGGTGTGCACCGAAATCATCGTTTCGTACAGATTGAAATCGTTTTTGGAAACGGGATCCCACCAACAAACCCCGTCCGGTTCGCAATGTAGTCACTCGTCAGCATCAATAGATTACTAATAACATTGTATTTTACTATACATTATGATACATTATATCACATTACATCGTACTCCGTTGCAGGCTCGTAGCCGCCAGAGGGAGGAACTTGAGTGGGTCAAACTTTCCTTAAATTTAATCTGGCCCAGAACCGTTACCCAAATATTCATATAGAATTTTTTTTTTTTAACCAAGTATCAAAAACATAGCATGTTCATAGCTTATACACAATTCATAAATTTGTTGTGATAACTATTCGATAATACAATTCATCGTAATTTTTATTATTATATATATAACTTATATATTTTAGATATATTATTATTATCATATTGCATTTCATATTCGTGGAAAATAAAAATATTAAAATTATATTAAATGGGAACTAGTGTCAAATAGTGAATGCCCTCTAAAAGCTCTACAAGTTTCTCAAAGAAAACAAATTATGAAAAATGATACAAGGCCCCAACATTTTTGCCACCCCTCTCCTTAATATAATTTTTTTGGTTTCGTGCCTGCTCCGTTGTGTGGTCGTACCATAATAATCCTTCATTCAACACTTCAAGATTATTTTATCAACACCATTCATTTTTTAAATACTGCTTTTGTATTACACACGCTAATCTATATCAATTTCTCGATAAATATACGTTAGTGTAGTCTTAAAGTCCACTCATCATTGCTTACTACTTTTGTAAGATCAAGTTTACTACTACTATTCCTACGCTGTTTATTCACTAAATATTTTTTTATTACAGACATTACTTAATAATTAAAACAAACAAAAATTCTTACGTGTTCATAAAAAATAAGTTGTAACATTCAAAAGTAAAAAACAGTATAATTTTCTTTTAGTTTAGTTTATCTAATCATGGGACAATTTTAATTCTAGTGCTTTTTTTTTTTTTTTTTAATGAGTTGAACAACATACTTAAGCAGTTCTTAACAATATAATATCAGATTTTTCTCTAAGAAGTCTTTTTATATTTACGACAAAAAATGTAATTAAAATTTTAATGTAGTAATAAAAAAATATAATATTAATCAAACAGACGATTACTTGAAACTTAATATACCGATAAATTAATTTACTTTTGATGACAAATGTATTTATAAATTTCTTTCTCGTATTGCAACGTTGATTTAATTAATAACATAATAATATTTATTGTTGATTATAGTTTTAATTTTTCACGCATAAATCTACAAACTACTAATTTATTAATGATTTATTTAATATTACATTACATGTGTTATACTTGTTATAAAAGAAAAAAAAAATATATATATATATATATACAACTTAAATTGTTTCTTGTTTCTTAAGCTATTTAATTTTGTATTATATTTCTAAATCTATTTATTTTTTTTAAATGTGGTATTATAAAAAGTTCTAAAAATAAAACGTCGGTCTGATAAATCATGAATTCTACCATTGAAATTAAAATATTATACAAAAACTTTAGACTTCATGATAAATCAGAATAAACCAAACTATTTAATAGAGATTACTAATAAGTTTGACATAAACATTTTAACACACAAATTATAAAATTAAATTAATACGGATATTAATGGCACATTGTGTTTATATGTACGTACTGTAATTATGTCATTAAATAAAATGTGTTTTATGGTACTCAAACACGAAATCTAACTGGTGAATGGTTATCAATATATTACACAATTTTAAAATTTATTATGAACTCGACAAGTTCTTAAATACTTAATTTGAAGTGGTGCTGCAAACATATTCCTATTTGCTAAGCTCCAAAGTATAGATAAACAGTATTATGTGCATTATTATAATGTTGTAATTTAGTTATATTATAAATAATATTTTTTGAAGACTATTCACGTTTCAGAGTTGTCATACATTAATTAACAGTAAAAATTGTATAGTATTTACCTGACTAAATGGTCTGTGTAATCTAATATCTGGTAAGTTTGTAGGTGTTGGAAAGTTTATCAAGGATGATGATGGGCTTGGACTCTGCGAGTATGGCGAATGTTCCATCTGAAAACAAAACTGAATTAAAAATAGTTGCTTACTACAACGAAAATAAAAGTTAATTTCAGACAAATTAAATAAAAGGTATTAATTCTTTAATAAATTAATAATATTAAGTGCATTCTTGATATAAGTTTAAATAATACATATTATATATAATTTATACATTTATATAAACTTAAATATAATATTTGTTGCTAATATAAACTATGTTTTTTGTTTTTAGAATAGACAGTTTTTCAATAGGTATCTTTTTTAAATTGAACAAAATTATTTGAATCAAAATGAAAACATTTATCAAATTAAAATTTTTATGGTTTAAAACTTGATTGGGGGAAATCAATGTGTGTATAACAAAGTAACGATGATTCTCAAGTAAATAAACAATTTTGTTTTAGGAAAACGTATCTTAAAAAATATGGACTTATGTTGTAATAAACACATATATAAATTGAAGAAAGTAATGAAGTATTTTTTTCAAAATCAATTTAAAAACTAACTCTAAAAAATCTGTCGAATTCGTAGTATCACTTTATGTTTATTTTTGCTGCATCATTATAATTACTATTGCGGTCGTTAGTTGTGTTATACAACATGGGTGGCCATCAGGTCGAACGCGACATGATTTCGAATCGATCATGACTCTATTTTTTTTTTTTCAATTTTTCGGAAAAAAATTTAAATTTCTATATTTTTATTCAACCTACGAAAATAAAAATTAGATTAATACGATAATAACAATTAATTAAAACAATATATAGTAATAATTAACTATGAAAATCGAAATTATATACTAAAATTGAGTAGCTATGTAGGTACGTAATCTAATGGATATTCCGCATTAAATAATGGTATTTTTATTATATATTTATCGCGTTTCTATAAATTGATAAAAAATATTCAAAATACGAGTTACGTAAAATTATAAAATAAAAGTTATTATTACTTATTAATATTTTAAATAGAAGATATAAAAAAGCGTATCATGCAACAAACATGTATATAAATTATATTTTTGCTCAGTGTCAATGTTTTTTTTTTTTGTGTCGATTGTGACAACCTAGAAAAACTCACAAGCAGCACCGAAACTAGACCACTCAAGGCCCGTATGTGAATCATAACCATGACGATCCTAATCATCGAACTTTGTTGAGTATTTGACGTTTTGAGGCCCCATAATAAATAGAGACATGGCCGTTTTCGACCAAAAACGTACCATTCCCTTTTCGGCCGATTCACTTTTCGACCAAATTTAAAATAGGCCAATTCATTTTTCGACCAAAACAAAAATTTGTATAAACAATTTAAAATAATAAAATAATTATGTACAATTTTTGTCAATAATTATTAAAATATTAATATAAAAGATAACGATATTTTGTATCTAGTTTTGATCTCTTATCGTAATGAGAATTGTTTGCATTTTTATTTTGAAAAATGTTAGGACTTCGCTCGTTACGCCTGCTGGGTCCACTCATCAACTCAAGTGCCACTGCGTAGCACTTTTCGGAAGGATGGGGCTTTGCACCAAGGGGAATTATAGTCTAAGCCTAACCTAGTTTTTGTACAAACCTTGATATTGTTGCAAATGGAATTATGCTCTGTATGTGAACTTAAAACCCCTGCTATGTGAGCTAAACCCTGAATCACCATTAATATATTATAGTAGTTCCCACCATAATCAAACATTGTATATCATTATTTTATTATTTTAAATTTATTATATAAATTTTTGTTTTGGTCAAAAAAGGTAATGGCCTATTTTAAATTTGGTCGAAGACGGACTCGCCCATAAATAGTTCGAGACCCGGGGCCCATATGCATTGCACCCTCCGCACACTTTGTTTTTACGGCACTGCTCATAAGTGTTTAAAATTTGACCACCTCTGTTATACATTAACAATTACGGTATGTTATTATCTCGTATTCCATCATAGATTTGTATTAATAATTCGTCATTTACCGCTCAAATATTGATCTTAAAACCATTCATTTTTTTAAAGACTATTTATCTTGCACGGCAGTCGCTAATCTATAACGTTTTTAATAAATGTATATTTATTTCCTAAAATTCCACTCATCGTTTAGTGTTTACTACTTTTAAAAAGTGTATTACCACACTAATAATTAATTTAATAATTCCTCATTGTAAACATTACTTTAAACAAACAAAAATTCTAAAACGTTCAAAACAAACTTAACTGATGACGACAGTAATTCATTATGTAAATACAATTTTTGGTTGGAAGATTTCTTGTTTCTATATTTTGTTTACTCCGTAGATTTTTAGTTAAAAAATTATATTTTTCGTATAAACTGGTATTATAAATAAATCATATTTTTTAATTAATTTATTGAAATTAAGTGTTCGTATTTAAACATTTTGATATCATGAGAAAACTAAATCAATTCATACGATTATGAATGGTTCAAACACATATATTACAATAACTATACAATACTATACTGTTTGGTGTTTGCACTTTCAGACAGATAAGACTGACCGCCGATGCAATGACGATAACATCCGAGGCAATATGAGTTATTATAATTATTTTTATATTACGTATTCATTTACCTTATAAACAATCATACATCAGGAAATCTTACAACATTGGTCGAGTCCTGTAAAATTACTAAGAATCTAAAATATAAAATAACTTTTGTAGTATAGACATGTCAATAGTATAAAGAGCAGTGGCGTATTTGAGGGGGGAGAACAATGAGGGCAATCGCCAACTCCCGAAAATTTTTAGACAAAGACAATTTTTAAAAGTAATGGATATTTTAGTAAGAAACAAAATTTATGATTTATTTTATAGTATTACTACATTTGAAAACGTTTAAAATTTTACACTAATTTAAATAACGCAAAATGCTAAATTTTTCATAACGTTTTAATTGTCAATAATGGTAAACAGAAAATTTTTTAAAGTTTAAATTTGTATAACATTTAAACGCTTAAATTGAATAACGTTTAAATTATTTATAGCGTTTTTTGTTTATAACGTTTATATGTCCCATAGCGATAAATAATATACCCATATTATTTTGATTGAAGACCCAGTCCATACTTAGTGAAAAATTAGATAAAACACAAGCGAAACTTTCAAAAAACAGATAAGTGTTAAAAAAGAACGACACAAAAGACCATTCTAAGTGGATCCGGCATTAGATAAAAAAAAAAAAAAAAAAAAAACCATAAATATTAAGGATTCACCTGATACAAATATTAACAAAAATTTTACTTGTAAATTTTGAGCCTGAATTAAAAAAAAAATTTGAGTCGCCGCCCCCCCCTAGAAGTAAGTCTGAATATACCTCTGATAAAGAGGATTAAAAAATCTTAAATACTTTCAGTAGTACTACATTTTGCTATATTTATGCTTGGCATAGTTAAATGTACACAATAGTACATAGGGATAAGCATATTAATACTACATAGATGGGTGGTAGTTAAATCTTATTTTATGGTTTCATTGTCTCGTAAATATTTCATGTATACTTTTTTGCAGTGCTCTAATTTCAAAAATGGAAGTGTGATGCGTGATGGTGACGTTTCTCAAGATGTATAAATATTTCAGGGTCATTATTTCAGAATCACATGACATTTTTGTTGATAGCATACCATTTAGAGTCGACAAGAACTCTAAGTTAAAAAATAAAAACAAGAAAATACAATATAAGAAAAAACTAAAATCAGTCAATTCCCAATTAAAAATAAAATGTACACATGCATTTATAATTTTTTTTCTTCTATATTACATTATTAATAAAATCTAAGTAGATTATTTTCTAAGAACAAACTTAAAGGACCATAAAAGGAATAAAAATAATTTATCAATCATTATTTCCGTACAGATACTTGATGCTAAAATATTTAATACAAATTTTCACGACAATAGTATAATGCCTACAAGTTTTCTGTCAAAATATACATAAACTCTTGTAGGATTAAAAAAATTCCCACATGAAACTATGATAATTCTCACATGGTGATGAAATAAGAAATATATATATATATTATGCTACACAGAGATCGATAGAGATATCTTAAATTTATGGAAATTCGTTTGTTTTCTAAAATCAAATGCTTTACTTTTCGTATTATAAAAAATAATCTATGCTATTAGGAAAATAATACTTTTAAGAAAACTGGCTTTATTTCATGATTATTATAAATATACAATGTATCACTAATAAACACACATAAAATAAGTATTTGTTTTTTTTTTTGTTTTTTAATTTGGCATTTTACGTGTTAGAAAATATTTTAAATTTTGAATATGTAAAATAGTAAATAAGTGTAGGTACGTATATAGTACGTACATTAAGACTAAAGAGAACATCAATGAAAAGCTCAGTATTCCATAAAAATACATTTTAATAAATAAAGCACAATATAAATTGTTTAAAAGCAGTACTACCAGTGGCGTATACAGAAAATATTTTCTGGAGGGGCTACTATGGACAGAGTTAAATTACCACTGCTATCTAAGAATCACTAACAAGACACAGTTGGTAAATTTTATTTACAGAATGTCCCAAAACGATTTGACGTTGGACGCAAATTCTAAATAAGCATAAATCACAAATCTAACATAAGTTTAAAATAATTTTTAAGCTTTTGAAAACATTTTGGGGGGGGCTGTAGCTCACTAGGCTCTCCTCCCCTATATACGCCAATGATTACTACCGTATTTGTTTTAAATATAAGTCAATTATAAATGTTTTATTGTAAGCCACTGTAATAAAAACAGAATAAATTAATGGATTACAAACTACTAATCTAACCTATAGGTAAATAAACTATAGGTAACATATAAGTATACTTTTCAACAAAATATTTATATTTTTATGAATTTAAACGTTACCGGATTAAAGTGAAATTATAAGTAAGAACAACAGCAGCATTAGAAGAAGCATAAAGAAGCAAAAACTGTATAGTAAAATAATATATAAATAAATAATTTAAACATAGAAATTAGTAAATAAATAAATGCTTAACTTGGAGTTACAATATTTGTGATTTACATTCGATTTCGAATTAAAAATGTATCATCAAGTATGAACAAAGTCAATAAAATCACAACTCAAATGTATCATACCGTACATTACAAATATAATAAGGTTAAGCATTTATTTATTTATTTATTCATTTTACAAGTATAAACCATTTACTAATTGTATTTTATTTTTATTATTATAATAATAAAATAATATTATATAATATAACTATAAGTGTAAATAATATTACTTACATTTACAATAGATTCCATTTGTACTATACAATTGTGTTTGTTTAAATCTAACACATTGGGATATAATTAAAATATAGTATTCATGAATTTAATTTTGAGAAAAATGACAACTGATTCTGTAACTTTTTTAATGTTAACAATCCTGATGGTCATAATACATAGAAATGTTGTATTTTAATTAAATATTCTGTACTTATTAATTCATATAACAAAAATACTTTTCTAATTTTAGTAGTAGATATTAATAGTTGACGGTTTTTTTTTTAAATTTTGACATTTACATATTTATCGGCTTAAATTTTTTTTGGATTAAACTAGATTTTCATACAACCGTTATTGTTTTATTTGACGTTTTAAATCTATTTTATTTAATATAATAAGTTTTAACACAGAATTAATAAAAAAGGAAAATTTTTCATGATAAATATTTCAGAACAATTCAGTTCATATTGTAGATTTTATGAAAAAATATGAGTATAAAAATGAATACTGCCGACCAAAATAGCAAAGAGCAAAAGCAAAGAAAAACGAAATGTATAAATCACATTTTAATATTCTTTAGTGTTAAAAGTATGGAGCGCAATATTTGAAAGAAATTAAATGATTTGAGAAACTAATACACATATTAATACACATACATCTGTAGAGTTTATTAAGTTTTTAATAATAATTATATTCAAGTATAAATAGACGGTATAATATTTTTGCAATCGGAAACTTTTTGTTATTTTAGTTAAACTTATCAAATTCAAATTTTAAGATATAATTTGCCAAATTAAATTCTAAAAATAAGTAAATAGTAATTAATATAAATAATCTGTTACATTTTAATAGTTACTTCTATTTTTTTCTTAGCCAAGACTGAATTCAATATCAATGTTTGATTCAATGTAGATACATTTGTTTGATTTACCAAGACAAAATAATTTATAAGTCAAACAAATTATATAATTTCACAATAAATTGATCGAATTTTCCCAGTAAAACATTTCCATACAAACCTTATACGGACTATAATATAAACTATTCTAATTATTCATAACTAATAACATATACTATGCTATTAAATTTTTTGTGGAGTTTGCTGTACATTTAAGTTTAAATTAATTTACCATGATGCAAAAACTAAACAACATTTTAACAGGAATCTTAACGCTTACATTCTATAAAACTGCACGTCTAGACGTCGAGACCACGGTTTCATTCAAAAATGTATCTCCCGACAACAAACGAAGCTCTTTGCAGTTATAATTTAACAATCGTGTATTGATGACCGACGTTTCGAATGTATACTCTTAAACGACGTATTTATAGGAATTTTAAAATATTGAAATCTTTATTTTTTTTTCAACTAACTTATGTACAAATGTCCAATACTTATTTTTATTTTACCTTGGCACGTGAACTGTTACGTTGAAACGGCGAAGGCGGTGAAGGCGACGTGGGTGGCGATAACGGCTGCAGCGTGTCGCCGTTTCGGGATTTTCCCGTAGGGAAACCGCGACGATCGGGGGGGGAGGAACGAAAAATGAAAAAAAAAAAAAAACCCGTACTCTTCGACGAGAAGTCGGGTAGAGAATATCCGATACGTGTGCGGCGGCGCTAATCGACTACGTGTAACAGTACTGTTTTAAACGTTTGTGTTTTATAATATTTTTCCGGCAGCAGTCTCTCTCTCGGACGAAATCGCCTAGACGGTAAAACGCGGCGACTTGTTCGCACGTGCGATCGTTACCATAATAATACCGCGGTCGTAGCTGTCATGCGAACGCGTGGTCACGTGCGGGGAACACGGAACGGATGTGCGGTTGCACCGGGCACGGATATCAGACGCGTACTGAGCACAGCCGGCGGCGGTAACTTGTGCCGCGGCGGCGGCGGCGGCGGCGTCGGTGGTGGTCGTCGGTCGCGTTATCACGAAACTGGCGCGCGCGGAGAGACGACGAGCAGCAACGGCGGCACCGGCGGTAGTACCAGT